AAACACATTGGCATCTATGGTGCATATATAGATGTTTACTCTGAAGTAAATTTTATTAACTTCAATGACACTTTCTCTTGGGAGAATGAAAGCAAGCAGCATCACAGCCTTCCGATCATTTCTCCATGATGTTTTTGTGAGGGTGCAGGAGAAGCAATCAAGTCCTTCCCCACTCACATGATCAAAACCAAAAAATCTCTGTCCAATCACTTCTTCACACATGTGCACATTTGGTTCCTTTTTAAAGGGCCACTTCCTTGCATACATCTCCATTCCAACTCTTCCTCCTCCTCCCTCAATTGTATCTGTATGTAACACAAGATGTGTTCAACATAGTGGAAATGAAATACAACATATTGTATTCATTGCCATATGACCCAACAGTAAAGGTGCTGCATAAATACCACCACAGCATTCCCTGATTAACAGAAGGGTCTAGTGGCTGCCCAGAGAGCATAAAGCCAATGGGCAGCTTTTATGCAAATTTAATAAATAAATAACAGTGAAGATCCCTTTCAAGTCTGTCTCCCTTACACCCATGTAACTAACAGTCCGAGCTTCTCAGTCTTTTGGATGTTTCTTAAACTTACATTTAATAGGTACTTTTTATCTTTTCAAGATGTTCATAGCAAAATGGGTAGCAATAGGCCACTCACTATTTCAATATTTTAAAATAAGAAGTACTACAAATGAGGCATAAGGATCTCTCAATTTGGGAAACAGCATTTGAAACATACATCTGTTAACTTAAAAGATTTAGTTTGGAAATTATTTTTGCTCTCAGATTTAGATTTGTCAGAGTCTAATCACATGTGAAAATGGAAAAAAGACACTGGGATTAATATTGTCTAAAAACAATGAGTTTAAATATATAATGTTTTTGCTAAAAACTATTAGCATTAGTTGAGAGAAACTTGTGTAAAATAACAGTTTCAGTAGTACTTATTGGAGGTGCTGTTCTTATCATACTGACTTTTTATTCCATTTTTGTTCCATTTTGTAAGGTAAAGGAGTCCTTGTATATTTTACTCCACTTGGCCTGTGGTTGACAGGGGGTGGTGCTCATCTCCATTTCTAAGGCCATGTGCCACTGCTGTCCAGAGACAATCCTTTGGTCCTGTGGCCAGCATGATTTTACTGACTGTGAGCCATCCCAAGATGCTATGCATAAGGGACAGCATATAAAAGTTTTAAATAAATAAATAAATGATGTCACAGAGTGCTGTTATGTACTGTGATATAATGTTTTTAGAAACAGGTGCTGGGAGAAAAGTAGTAGATGATAGAATATGCTATTAGGCACAATCTTAAAAAGTGTCCTTTTAGGCTAAAGGACTTTGTTAAAGAACGCTCTGAGTTAGTGTTATCCTTGTTAACTACAAAAAAAGCTTCTGACTGGAAATGTATTAATGTACTTTCAGTGTTGATATAAATAGGATAACTCCACTAATGACATATATCCTAAAGAAGTTCAAATATAGCAATGAGCAAAAAACTCTGATGAAAGATGGATTTATTACATAATAAAACAACAAAAATCAAAGTAATGCATATCTTTATGCATCCTTATGAAATATTTTCTAATAAAAATAATAAGAAGGAATAATATTAATTGAAGGTTGTAAAGCAAAGCTGCAGTACCATTGAGGTGTGATTAAACCCTTACATGCCTGAAGTTTTTTGTAGCCCAGTTCATGTGGCCTCCTATATTACCTCCAATCACCATTAGGAATGGATTGTTCCTCTGTAGTTGTCATTAATTGCCTACTCTGCATAGTGCTTTGCCCCCTCCCCTTTTTTAAATCATGTAAATACATGAGCAGTTCAGGAGATGCAGGCTAAGCAAGTGATAAGCCATTTGGCTGACTACCACCACCTCAAACAACTGTGGAAGCAGGCTTATAAGATATGGCTGTGGATCCTTCTGGTACTGTGCACCTTCCACCAGCTATAAAGTCTTAAGGAAATCTCCTGATGACCTTTGAAGCTGGAAGGATACCAGAGAAGAGAGTTGGCTGGTTAGCTGATATGTTCAGAGGTTTTTTTACATAGCCACTATGAGATGATGCTTGATCTGCCCTTGGCTTTTGATTCATGGCAGGCTGGTTGTATTCCTTTTGCAATAACTAGGAAGGACAAGGTATTTGTTTGCTGTAAATGAGGTTGCCTTGGCTTAAAGAGAGCTAGTCAGATACGTACCATATGTTATCTAAATACACCCATGGGAGAAATCAGACTGGATTAATATTTTGATGTAAAAGTTAAATGTAAAAGTTACCCATATTGAGATACAGGAAGACTAATTCTTGGCATTCAGATTCTAGACTAAGCAGTTTGGCAAACTGACATGTATTATATATTTAGGTTGAAGTCTAACTCAATTTTTAAAAATAAAAATAGTTTTAATATGCAGTAATACAAAAGCAAAGCAGGTTCAAAAACTAACTATGTTACAATGCATCTCTGCAGAATCTGAATTATGCAGATAGAGGAGTAAGTGTTGTTGAATGTGTGTTAGCATCTACAATAAATGGATACCACATTTCTATGGATAAGTTTTCTGGTGTTTTAAAAGACGCCACTTTTCAGAAAGAGCAGTTTTTTTACCTTCTGTTCATCCATTTTTAAAATCAATAGTCCAGTGGAAGATTTCCAACTTAATCCAACTTCAAGCATGGCATCAGTGAGCATAATAACAAACAAGATTTTATGTAAAAGGCCTTGTCTTTGAAAACTGATACATTTAATTTGTTCTTCTGTAATTTCATAGACTATAGAAAGAACTTGGTTTCAAAAGTTTCTAAAAGTTGGGCATAATTGCCACATAGGTTTTAAGAAACTGCTATTACTACATCCACTAAGCATAATAATGAAAGAGAGATGTCAATGATTGTGCAGTTTATTAGGATGATGTGCCACTGGTGAACTTCCTTCATTGTGCCTTCCTTTATTTATGCTGAAATTGTGCAAAGAAAGGCGCAGGAAGCCATTGGTGTTCCATTATAGGATTCACATCATCTTCCCATTTTCATTTTAGCTTTGTTGCATTTCCACAGAAGAAACCAATTAACTATTTATATAGTATGGAGTCTAGACCTTTCACAGAACTGCTCTAGGGTAAGCATGCATTTTCAAAGATTGTTAGCACTTGAGGAATTTTTTAAAGCAAGGTTTTAACAAAACTGATTTGATAATTTTGTAGCTGAGAAACCTTCCCTGCTACAGGATGTCTGATAGCCACCAATCTGGATGGCTTTTAAAGGGGATTGGAGAAATTCATGGAGGAGGAGGCCATCAGTGGCTACTAGCCTTGCTAGCTATGAGCTTCCCCCATTATCACAGGCAGCTTTCCTGCATGACAGTTGCTGAGGTGCTTGGGCACTCAGAGGACTTGTACACAGGATCCCTCAAGCAGAATGGGTACAACTGTTTTGCTACCATGTGAATGGAGTGCTGGACTAGATGGGCCATTGGTCAGACCCAGCATGTTTTTAATGTTATCATTTAGCCAGTGGAACAGGGACCAGGCCACACTGGGAGTTTTCCACACTATCTAAGCTACATTCGTTTGTCTTTCAGAAGGGTTTATTTCCTTAACATGGCAAAATACATGTATTTAGAGACTTGTGTCCTGAGAAACCATGGTAACAGCAACATTAGTATACTAGCAAAGAAATGTAAGGATTGGATATAAAAATTGTGCTAGTGCAGTATAACAACTGAGGCAGAGCATTCAGGTGTATCCATGCAGGAATTGATTCTACTGCACAACTGATGGGAGCCTTTGAATGAAGGCACACAGGGCCATTCTATATATAGAAACGGGTGGAGTAGAGATATTGTAGGGGCTGGACAGAAGATGACTCACATAATGCCTGAGAGCTACCTGACACATTGTACTACACAGATGTAATGGGATTATAACTGACAGGCAGTAGGTTTGATTTGCTACAGTTACATCACACAGGAAACTTCTGTGTTGCTAACTAATACCATTCAGTGATCATAATCTTACACTAAAAATCTGTAACCCCCCCAAACACACACACACCCCTACACCTTTCTCTTTCCCCAGCACTTCCATTGTCCTTTTGAACTGAGCATTCCAACTAAAAGTATCACATTTTTTATAACCCAATAAATTAACACACAGCAGGAGAGAACTATATAGAAAGGATATGAAATAAAATTAGATTGCTCATACTGCTGAGACAGGAATGATAGAGATGGAACAAAGAATGGAAACCGTGATATTGTCCTTTGTACCAAGTGTGGATTATAATTTATATCAATTTGTAGTAGATTACCCAAAATTCTAGTTCAAGAAGAGTTGAATTTTATCAGTTAACTAGTTTAAGCTTATTGAAAATCTGAATTGGAACTGTGAACCTTTCTAAAATGCTATTTAAAATTCTATATCGCCATCATCATCTGTATCCCAAATGGTGTCTGTTCCATGTTCATTAACATGATTCATTGTTAATGGATGGATAGAAGCTGTCCGTTCTAAAAACAAATGCCCATACGCTAGGAGGTCAAATGGCATTTTTTTGTATCCATTTCATTTTGACACAATTATATAGAAATCTTACACAATGCAAACATAATTAACGAGACATAGTAATACATAATCCAATTTGGAAATGAATGGTTCTACATCTGTGTCACTTGTTTCCTATGTCTTGAATGCAAACTTGTTGCATGATAAATAACTACCATTATGTGATTTTTTACAAGTATGAAAAAGGCTCAGATTTTCAAGTTGCCTGCATGCTCAGTGCAGATATTACCTTCAAGCTGGAATTTTGACAGCAATGCTATTAGACTGAAGCCTTTGGAGAACAGGCTAACATAGTTAACAAGCCATTGCTCCTATTAATAGGACAGAGGCCCTTTTGCAATGTCAACTGTAATATTAATCCTTGGTTCAAATCACAGGGTCTCAAATATCAGCTGCCACTACTCAGACGGGTCTCTTTCAGCTTATATCAGAGAACCCAATGGAGTCTTTTAAAGAACCTGGTCATATTAGTAGCGAGAACTTATTGGAAGTTCCTGCTTTAAGTGATTCTCTCTCAGAAGATGAAGATGTTAAAGCAACACTGCAGCCTCGTTTCTCCCCCAGTCCCCGAAGACGGAATTCAGATTCTTCGGAAGAAATGGAGCCGGAAGCCCCATCAACTATTGCAAGAAAAGTTTCATTTGCTGATGCATTTGGTTTTGACCTAGTATCTGTTAAGGAGTTTGATACCTGGGATGTTCCAATTACATTACCAAATGATGAACCAGAAGATGAAGTTGTGCCTGTGGAGGAATTCTATTTAACTCCACTGTTTACACTACCCACCACACAAGAACAACTTTTGCAAAAAGTGCGTGCACAGAAAGTAGGGCTTGAGTCCATCGAGTTTCTACCAGGAATAACATGTATGAAAGGGATAATTCGTGTTCTGAATGTATCTTTTGAAAAGTTGGTTTATGTTCGCATGACTCTGGACAACTGGCTGACTTATTATGACATCCTAGGAGAATATGTGCCTAATTCTTGTGATGGTGAGACTGACCAGTTCTTGTTCAAGATTTCATTGGTTCCTCCTTACCAGAGAGATGGTGCTACAGTTGAATTTTGTATACGTTATGAGACATCAGTGGGAATATTTTGGGAGAACAATGACAACCACAATTATATTTTGATCTGCCATAAAAAGGAAACTGCACCACCATCAGCTGATAATCAGCTTCAAGAAGAAGTTACAGATAAAAATATCAGAGGCTGTTTAAAAGGAACAGGAAACAGGTGAGGCTGTGTCTAACCATTGCTTTCCTTTAAAAAAATACAAAACTTATTTCAGTTATAATTTCCAAAGAAGGAGATTTTTTATAAGTAACCTTTCAGTTGTTGCTGTGGTTAATTTTCCTCCCCAGGCTTCTGTCACCATTGATTTCATTATTAAAAGGACTGTATTGCTTCTGTGTACCAGTTTAAATAACTGGTAACATTGTATTTAATTACAAGGTAGTATTCAAAAAAGTTAGCTTGTTGGAGCAATCTAGAGAAGGGTGGGCAGAATGGAGATCTCCAGATGGTTTTGGACTTCAGTTTCTAGAAGTCCCTGCCAAGATGGCCAATGGTCAGAAATGTTAAGAGTTGAAGTCCAAGACATCTTTCTGCCCACCTCTGGTGTAGGGTAGAGTATTACCAAGTCATACAGTTGCAAATGGACACAGAAATCCATACAGATGTGTTTATGGAACTGCATCAGTTCACTAACGGTCCTATACAGAGGTTCAAAAGTCTAAGATGGAAAGACCATGTGTACTAGGCCAGCCCCTCCACCTTTGACCTTCCCATATTGAGCAGGAAATTCTGAAGACAGATTATAACTGTGCTCAGCTGGCTGTAATTATGCTTTTCCTCACAACTGGGAACTCTGATTTTGCAGAGTTTCCAGTTGTGGAGAGAACTACAATCACATTTAGTGGAACATATCATGTCTGGTTTTTCTGCTCAATGCAAAGAAAACAAAAACAAAAACAGGATGGGTCCAAGCTGCATGATCCATGCTTAGATTTCTGAATTCCTAAGCAAGACTAATTATTGCTTAAAATGTGCAATTTCATTTCATTATAGACATTTGGTTCTAAATCATGCATTGGTGTATGGTCCCAAGGGTAGAAATATATTTTGGTTATTGGTCAGAAACATTTGTAATATTTAAGAGGCCAAGAAAGCTTTAGAAGCATTTCTATTATGTTCTATATGTCTTTGGTCTCCTGTTTGCCTGGAGGGCCCTCCAAAATTGGAGAAGAAGTAGACCAATGTCCAGTTTATTGTGGCTTGACAGAAGGGTCTGTAGGCACAGAAGCCAGCATTTCCAGAGATCCTTTGCATCTCTAGATTGGTGAACTGGAGGCAATGGAAGCATTCCATGGGGCTCAGATTTGGCCTAGGTGCCCCTGATTGTTAATGCATTCACTAGAGGAATGCTGTAAATATATTTAGGATTCTTCGATAAACAACAATAAATAATATGATATAAATAACTTGTTATAGATTTTGGATACTCATTGTTGACTGCAATTTTTATAGAAAATTGATAAAAGGTATTAAGATGGGTGAAATGTTAAGTCCTGAATAATATAAATATTTCCAAGAATTCAGTTACATTTTTCCACAGTTATTAAGGAGAGATGCCACATTCTTCATGTACTAATACTGACTTTGTTTAAATCATAGGGGCTTGGCAAGAAAACTATATAAAATCTTGTATGGTCTTTCTTTCTCATTGGTGGATCATGGTCCTAACAGCACTCTATGAAACAAAGTTCATGTACAGTTCTTACAACCCCAGCCCAGTTCTCCAAGAGGCTAATACCTATGTCATCTGTTAGACCTATATGTGGGATCACAAGCAGGACTGATATCAAGGGTAGACACAGTCAGGCACCTGGCAAGAGCCCACAGCCTAGCTCAGTCCCAAGCCCTCTGAATTGTTCCTTGTCTTCATTACTCTAACATGTTTATTCACTTGCCTCTTGCTTTAGCCTAGACAATGGTGGCAGCGGTGGTGGGGGTGGTAGAAAGGGGCTGCAGACATCATTGCCTGCTTGCTCACTGATTCTCTGCTTATCAAGCCAGCACACATGAGCAATGATGAAAAAGAGATGAGTAGCAAGAGCAGCTGGTAACAATGGTGGTGAGAAAATACACTTGCTGAAGGAAGGAGCCCACTGAGGGTGTCTTGCCCATGTGCCATCAAAAGCCTGGAGCCAGCAGTGATCATAAGAGCCCTGTAAACATGTTTGCTCAAGAAACTGCACCTGCTGAGCTTCCCATTCTGACCCAGGTGCACTAGATATTTCAATGCAATTATATATATTTTATAGATTTGAACATTATTCTAAGGTCAAACAGAAGTCTGGAAATTTGCAGCCAGTTTGAGCCAGTAGTGAAGAACTCTTTAAGTCTTAAATGAGATAGGAAAGCAGCAGGTTTTTAATTTTTTTATTGTTTATTTTTGCATGTCTGCCCTGTTCTCATATAAAGCAATCATTGGAGTGGGGTGGGTGAGGTCAATCTAGCAGTAAAAGTAGCACACAAAGCAGGAGTGTTGATATGAATCAGGCATGTTTCTGTGTTCTTAGCTCATGCCTGAGATCCAAAGGTGAGGTGAGGTGAGGTGAGGTGGGGGAAGAAGGTACATGCAATTATTCTGCCAAATTTACACAGACTCTTCTCTGAAAGATTGCAGCAGATGAACTGATTCTGCCAGAAAACACATGCATAGCATGGGCATGGTAGCAAGTAATAATAGTAAGATCAACATGGCCCCTTAAGAAGAGAACTTCAGACTGAAGTGCTAGCTGACATTCTTACTGGGTTGGAAACCTAGACAAGACAATATTGCATTGTGTTCTGGAAAAATCCGCCAGAACAAAAAAAGAACTACTACTTTTACTAATGCTGCTAATATGAATAATAATGACCACACCCTGGCTATGCATCCATGTGATCAATGACACTGAGAAGTGATATCATCCATGGATCATGGCAGGCTCTATGCTGAACCAGAGGCTGGAGCTGGTCTGGGGATTTAGCAGTTTGCAAGTTAATGCTTTCCTTTGACTTCAAGTGTAGCTTAGACATTGCCAATGAAGGAAGATGAAAGAGGAGTGGACAGGAATGAATGAAGACTGCTGCAACTTCCACAGCTCATACTGGAATTGATGCTCCAGGTCTCATAAGAGTCCATGGAAGAGTAGGCAGTCCAGAGGTATCAAAGGTGAGATAAGGCCCCCATTCAGCTCATTACTGCTCTGGGGTTAGATCCTCCTAGTCTAAGTAAGTTTAGGTTTGAACCTAGGTTTGAAACTTATTATGACTTAATTTAGTAATGACTGAATAGGTCCCATGCATTAGAATGGTTTTCTCTAAATATGCCACATCTGGATCTAGCCCTTTGATGGGAATGCACTTGCCTGCTTTATTTATCAGAACTGTTCACTTGTACTCTGTGCATGCAATACTTTTGCTGGGTTCATCAAATCATTTGTGACTCAATGGAAGCAGAGGAGCAGCCCCAGATCACAGCCATGTATTTTCAGTTATACTATGACATTATTTTGCAGAATCCTCTCTAAGAAAGCTAGATGCAGGTACATTTTCACCACTGTGGTTCCAGTTATTAGTTATTTATTCTGTGGAAGCTAAGTTGATATATCTGCAACAGTTGTAGGGAGAAAAAGATTTAGCAAAGAGAAAAAAGAAAAGTTCTGTGTCCTGTGAAGCTCATTCCATCACAGGCTTATGCATAAGTTGATATGAGGGACAAATACTTTTAAATTATTTTTTAGACTCCCAGGGGACACAGCTAGCTTATGCATTTAAGAGTGGTTACTGCCTTCTCCGTAAAGAAGTGTGAGTCAGAATTTTGACACTGATCTAGGGGTTTGCTTGTTTTCATTTAAAGGATGTTTCAAGTATACATGGTTGTACAGATGTTTAGAACTGTGAACAAAAGATCTACAAAAACCTTAGCACCAATTCATACATTAAACAAACTGCACCCAAAGTTGTTGGGTACAATTATCACAGAACTATAACATGTCAATATGTGGAAGATCCATATCTGAGTTAATCCTGTTGAGCATTGTGATGTTATATCCCTATTGCCTTAAGTGCTGTATAACCAAAGAAAAATATGTATTTATTTTCTATACTGTCTTATATTTTCAAAAAATAGCAAGGTGATACACAAAAGAATTTAAAAAAACATTTAAACTAGGCAACAGTACTTAATTTAAAATACAACAGATAATATATATTAAAACTAACATTAAAAACTGGGTAAATAAAAAAGGTTTTGGCCTGGTGCCAAAATGAATAAAGAGTGGGTGCCAGGCAAACCTCTCTGGGGAGCATATTGCACAATAGCACCACCTTGCCTATAATTTACACATAAATATATGTGTAAACCAAATTTTAAGATTAGCCTGCATATATATGTTAAAGAAGAAGATTTTATAGAGGCCTTTTCTGCAACACATTTGTTTTACACATTCAGGTATGCTAACAGTGCTATATTATACACGTCTACTGAAAAGCAAGGTCCACTGAGTTCAGAAGAGCATATTCACAGGTAAATTGGTGTAGCATTACAGCGTTAATACCTTCCAGCATTTCTTGTCCTCTCTTCGCAATGCTGACAGCTGCTGATCTGCTCTGTCAGAAAATAAGCTTTGTCTTATATTTCCCTTTTCCTTATTGTTCTTCATCAATTAACAACTAGTTTAGTTAGAAAGCTTTACTTCTTCACATCCTGTAAGATACTTGCTAACTACAAGGCCTAAATTGAAACACTACTTCACAGTCAGCCTGTTGATTTGGCTAAAGCCTTTTGCTATTATTAGCAAGTGATGAAGTGTGTAGTCTTTACCAACTGAGCAGCTGTTCCCTGCTACTGTGAGAGTGGGCTTTGCATTTTCAGGGGGACAACTGAGAAAACAACACTCATGCCATTATAAGATCCTCTTCAATTTTCTTTATATGAAATCAATAGCGACTATTAAGGGATTCACAGTGTTTTGGGTGCAACCTAGGAATTCATTGAAGTTTGGGTACTTTTACTAGGAAAACCATTTTTCCTACTTTTTTTCCTACTTTTACTAGGAAAAGGCTGGATTAGTTCCTCAGCCTGGTCTGGGAAAATGTTTGGAGAATGAGGGCACAGTGGATCCAAGGTTATGCCTTACCCATTTCAGTACACACCTGGAATGGTCCCAAGTGGGCCCCTAGTG